GCCTCCTTGCGCAGTCGTCAAACTCCGTTTGCCCCTCGAGTCCGCCAGGGCCCCGCCGTCGCCGAACCTGGCCATCAGCCCTTCCCCCCCTGGCTCCTGCTCCCGCTCCAGCTCCTCCCCCCCCCCTTTCTCTCCCAAGTCGTCCAGCTCCTGCTCTTCCTGCGACGGCGCTCGTCCTCGTCCTCCTCGTCTTCGCCCTCCCTTGCCCAAGCCTCCCCCCCCCTCCCCCTCCCCCTCTCCATTCCCTCGTCGTCGTCGACTACCTCTTCCTGCCCCTAATGGTCCCCCCCCGCTCCCCATCAACCTCCCCCGCCTCCTTCTCCCCTCTTCCTCCACCTCCTCCTCCTCCGCCTCTTCCTTATCCTTCTCTTGACCCTGCGCATGCTCCTCCTCAAATGTACAGCGTCCTGCTTCTGGAAAGACACGCGTCCAGAATCGCAAACGGGTGCTCTACTTCAGAAATCCTGACAGTCTCGCGCCAACTGGCCGCACCCCCTGGCGATCCCCCGTGGGAGGTCCAAGTGCGATACCTGCTCCATCGCGGTGATCATGGGGCCCTGGAAAATTAGCCTGACGAAATACCCAACCATACGTAGTTGTGAATACCGCAATTGTGGATATATTCCTCGGTGGCGCTCCCTATGGGGCCACGAACCGCATGAAGGGCGTGCCGAAATGTGTGGCGGGGGCACACAACGCGAAGGAAAATTATATTTCTGATTACGAAAGACTGAACGCGGATGAGTCTGAGCGCGAGTGCGTCTGTTTGTGAATGGGATTGCGCGCGAGCGAGTCTATGTTCATGAATGGGAGCATGACCAAGCTCAGTTTAATGTTATATGAATGTGAACGATTTGAGTATAACTGGTTCTGAGTACTTGTGAAATTGACTGTGGCCGCCGCGGGGGGCCCCCCCCCCCCCAGAAATGCCAGTGGCAGCGCCCGCAAGCCGCGACGCCCGTGTCGGCGCGCCCCTCACGAGGATAGCGCCCGCTTTTCTTATGTTCCTTTCTCTTTGCCCGCGCGCTCCAAAGTCCTACGCCGCGGGCGCAGCGCAGCGCGGAGTCCCCGCGACGCGCGCAGGTCGCCGCGGAGGGGTCCCAGCGACGCGCGCGGGTCGTCCGCTGCGCGGAGCGCAGAGAGCTAGCCGGCTGGCTGATTGCAGGCAAGGCTCCGGCCGCTGGGCAGGGCGACGACGGGCGAGCGAGGCGCTGGGCAGAGCGCCGCACGGAATCCCCGCGACGCGCGCTGGTCGCCCCGGAAGGTTCCCAGCGACGCGCGCGGGTCGTCCGCAGCGCGAAGCCAGACAAGTAGTTGGACAGTCGAGAGAAGGCGCGGCTCGGGGGGGACCCTCCTCAGGTCAGACCTCGCGGATAAATTTGGTGAAGCCGAGCTCCCTGGCGAGGGCCGTCGCCTCCCTCCTGCACCGCTTCGTGCGCGCCGCAAACTGCTCCAGCTGCTTCCGCAAGCCCTCCGGCGGCCCTGCCAGGAAGAACTCGATGCGCGGCGCCCGCATGAGCAGGAGGTCCTCGTGGCGCGTGGCGCGCGAGAGCAGCACATAGAGCTCCAGCCACCAGTCGTCGTCCTGGGGCGAGCGCATGCGAGCGCAGCCACTGAAGCGTTCGGTGGAGCTCCCTATGGAGCCACGAAGCGTGTGAGGGGTGTGCCAGAATGAGGGGTGGAACCGCATGCGAGCGCAGCCACTGGGGCCTTCGGTGGAGCTCCCTATGGGGCCACGAAACGTGTGAGGGGTGTGCCAGAATTGGGGGTGGAACCGCATGCGAGCGCAGCCACTGGGGCCTTCGGTGGAGCTCCCTATGGGGCCACGAAACGTGTGAGGGGTGTGCCGAAATGGGGGGTGGAACCGCATGCGAGCGCAGCCACTGGGGCGTTCGGTGGAGCTCCCTGTGGGGCCACGAAACGTGTGAGGGGTGTGCCGAAAAGGGGGGTGGAACCGCATGCGAGCGCAGACGCTGGGGCCTTCGGTGGAGCTCTCTATGGGGCCACGAAACGTGTGAGGGGTGTGCCGAAATGGGGGGTGGGGGTGGAACCGCATGCGAGCGCAGCCACTGGGGCGTTCGGTGGAGCTCCCTATGGGGCCACGAAACGTGTGAGGGGTGTGCGAGAATGGGGGGTGGAACCGCATGCGAGCGCAGCCACTGGGGCGTTCGGTGGAGCTCCCTATGGAGCCACGAAACGTGTGAGGGGTGTGCCGAAATGTGGGGTGGAACCGCATGCGAGCGCAGCCACTGGGGCGTTCGGTGGAGCTCCCTATGGGGCCCGAACCGCATGCGAGCGCAGACGCTGGGGCCTTCGGTGGAGCTCCTATGGGGCCACGAAACGTGTGAGGGGTGTGCCGAAATGGGGGGTGGAACCGCATGCGAGCGCAGCCACTGGGGCCTTCGGTGGAGCTCCCTATGGGGCCACGAAACGTGTGAGGGGTGTGCGAGAATGGGGGGTGGAACCGCATGCGAGCGCAGCCACTGGGGCGTTCGGTGGAGCTCCCTATGGGGCCACGAAACGTGTGAGGGGTGTGCCGAAAAGGGGGGTGGAACCGCATGCGAGCGCAGCCACTGGGGCCTTCGGTGGAGCTCCCTTTGGGGCCACGAAACGTGTGAGGGGTGTGCCGAAATGGGTGCAGGGGACGCATGCTGATGATGATGATGATGATGATGATGATGATGATGATGATGATGATGATGATGATGATGATGATGATGATAATGGTAATGGTGATGGTGATGATGCGGAGGATGATGATGATGATTATGATGATGATGATTATGATGATGATGCTGATGATGATGATGATGAGGAGGAGGATGACAATGATGATGATGGTGGCGATAACGGCGATGATGATGGCGATGATGATGATGATGACGATGATGACGATGATGACGACGACGATGATGACGATGACGATGACGACGATGATGGTGATGATGACGATGATGATGATGACGGGAGGAGGGAGGAGGGGGGAGGAGGAGAGGAGAGGAGAGGAGAGGAGAGGAGGACGCGGAGCACCGTGTCTTCAAAACGAGGGCCCAACACCACAGGATGGTTGGGAAAAAAACGGGTCCAGAGCTGCGAGCGGGCATTCTACCACAGAGGTCCTGACAATCTCGGCGCGAACGGGCCTGTGCAATACCCCCTCGCGGCGCCCACTTAGGAGGCCCACGTGAAGTATCTGCTACATCGCGGTGACCACGGGGCGCTGAAAAGAGACTCGTCTACTTGTCCAACGTACGACTTGGTCTGTGCATGAAGACTATGAGAAAGAATCCATATGAGTGTGAATGAGTGGGTATGAGGATGCGTGGGTCTGAGTGGGGGTGTGAATGCGAAGGAGTATGGTTATGAGTAAACCCGAATATGAGTGACGTGGGACCGTACCTGAATGAATCTGAATATGGGTAGTTGAAGTACGAGTGAATTCAACCGGAGTGCGTGAATGAGTCTGGGTGACCCTGAGTCTGATCGAGTATGGATGCAACTGAGTACCAGTACGAGTTAGCCTGGGCAATTCTGGTGAGTCAGAGATTGAGTAAGCCTGATTGTCTTCACCTGGGTACGAGGGAGTATGAGTATCAAGGAGGGAGGGAAGGAAGGAAGGAAGGCTGGAAGGAAGGAAGCGGAGGCATCACCACTGATAGCAATGTTGGTGAACATTGTGCTGACACCATCTAAACATCTCGATCCCCGAACCCAGGAGGAGACGGAGGACGTCCACTGCCCATGAGGGAAGAAATGGGCCGTCACGAGGGGGAATAGAGGCGCGAGAAAGGAAAGGAAGAGAGAGAAAGAAACTGCGGGATACGTATATATATAGTAAGATATCTGAAGAAACCACACATCTACTCCTGGGCAGGATGACGAGGAGGAGGAGGAGGAGGACGTCCACTGCCCATGAGGGAAGAAATGGGCCGTCACGAGGGGGAATAGAGGCGCGAGAAAGGAAAGGAAGAGAGAGAAAGAAACTGCGGGATACATATATATATAGTAAGATATCTGAAGAAACCACACATCTACTTCTGGGCAGGATGACGAGGAGGAGGGGGAGGAGGAGGAGGAAGACCTCTCTTACTATACGAAACCAATCTTTCAATCCGCAAGTCTAAACTCCTTGCCAAGACGATCTATTCATCGCTCCTGATCTGAAGGCGGCCCCAGGAGGCCAGAGCGGGATCGAAAGAGTCAATCCTTCGAAGGTTTGGAGAGTCTAAGAGGATACTTTTTCTGAGGGGTAGCAGTCCTGGTCTGCGGCCGCTCGACTCAAGCAGCGTTCGAACGACGGGGGGGGCGCTTCCGAGGCGAATTGAAGCGCTGAAGCAGGCGCGGTGGGAGGAGAAGGGGGCGCGGGCAAGGAGAGACCGCGCTCGGGGGCGAGACTTCTAGGGACCGCGTATAAAAATGCTTGTATCGTTTTTTCCTCTCTTACTCTCTCTCTCTCTCTCTCTGTCTTTCTCTCTCTCTCTCTATCACTCTCTTCCCTCTCTATCTAGCTGTACTTCCCACATGTCGTTGCAATTGCATGCTTCACAGGGTATCTAGTCACTGAGACGCTACGGCCATTGTACGACCTTCGTCGGACACACCAGGAAGCTGAGATCGGACGTTACGAAAAAAAACATCATCGCGAACGATCACGACCCGAGCTCTAGACCCCATGTTCCTGCCACATTTTTCGAGCTGGATCGACCTGTGATGGTCCAGGGGCCCGACGCAGGGCGATAACGCCTTGTGTCAAAAAATGCGACGCCTGGATCTGAGGGGAGGGGCGCCTCCAGGCCCCGCGCCGCAAGCGCAGCGATCGTCGGCCAGCTTCGCTGGCGATAAGGAGGAGGAGGAGGAGGAGGAGGAGAATGAGGGAGGAGGAGCAGGAGGATGAGGAGGAGGAGGAGGAGGAGGAGGAGAAGGAGGAGGAGGAGGAGGAGGAGGAGGAGGAGGAGGAGGAGGAGGAGGAGGAGGAGGAGGCGGAAAACGAGGAGGGGCACCTCCAGGCCCAGCTCCCGCTCCCGGTCCCCCTGCGCGAAAAGCTCCTCCTCCAGGCGCCGCACATAGCGTAGGTGCGCGGCGCGGCTCAGGGTCACGTGCCCAAGGTCCTCGGCGGAGCAGTCCTCCTCCTCTTCCTCCTCCTCCTCCTCCTCTCCTCCTCCTCCTCCCCTCTCCTCCTCTCGTCCTCCTCTCTTTCGCCTCCTCCTCCCTCATTCTCCTCCTCTCCTCCTCCTCCCTCCCCTCTTCTCCTCCTCCTCTCCTCCTCCTCCCACTCCCCCCTCTTCCTCATCCCTCCTCCTCCTCCCCTCCTGTCCTCCTCCTCCTTCTCCTCCTCATTCGCCTTCTTCTCCTCTTCTCCTCCTCCTCCTCCTCCTCTCCTCCTCCTCCTCCTCCCCTCCCCCCCTCCTCCTCCTCCTCCTCCTCCTCATCTTCCTCCTCCTCCCTCTCTCCCCATTCCTTTTCCTTATGAATAACTCTTCCCTGTCACACCCCGAGGCCAATCCAACGGGCCGGCCAGGCGTTTCGCCGGAGAAGTTCTCACCATGTATGGACCTGAGGCTTGAAAACTGTCAACCGCTTCACAGATGGAGGGCGGGCTGCTCTCGAAACGTGGCTCTCGCCGTAGCGCCGCGCACAATCGTTTCAAACATTTGCAGGAGCCTCAAGTATTGAGGACACATGGTTTTCAACATGTGGCTCTCACCTTAGCGCCGCACACAAACGCTTCAAACATTTGTAGGTGATTTAAGGATTGAGGGCAATTGGTTTTCAAACTGTATATATCGCCTTAGCGCTGCGCGCATTCGCTTCAGACAGCTGCAAGATATTCAGGGATTGAGGGCGACTCTTATCTTAAACTGTTCAAGATCGTCAAGACACAACAGTCAGGTTGACTTGTGGCGTTGAGGTCATCAGAACGGTGTTTCGACACGGTTCAGGATCTTCAAACGGCTGTCTCCCAACGGGGCACTTCCCTCAGTGGAAATGAACCTTTGTAGGGTCCTGTGAAGAGTGAGCTTGGAGAGAAGGTATATTCCAACGGCGTTGATGAGTTTTGGGCTTGCACTTGTGTTCCTCCTCCTCCTCTTTTTCCTCCTTCCCCTCCTCCTTCCCTTGCAGTCGAAGGCAGGATGATGATACATTCGCATGAATATACGGTCGGGGACTGTTGCTTAGCGTGTCGCGGTGGCGGCCTCGGCGGCACGCTATGCCTTCCGACCGGATAGCGCGTCGCTCCGCTCCGCGGGGCGGGAGGCTGGCCAAAAGCTCGGGACGCTGACGCTTCGGGCCTGGGCCGTGGATAGCGTGTCGCGCCGAAGCGCGGTGGGCCAGACCTGGCGGCGCGACACGCTAAGCCCACGCTGCAGACCGTAAATTGGGAACTTCTGAGAGCTGGCGGGGCCTGGAGGGCGTAGCGAGCGCCGCGGCCGTTTCAGAGCGCTTCGCGACGCTCCGAAAGCGTTTCGGAATGAGAGATTTATCCTCATCCGAGGCCTGCCTGATCTGTTCTTCTCACTGCTGCGCTTTGACCAGCCATCATGTGGCGTTGTGTCCTCGTTTTGAAGAGACAGCGCCCCGCGTTCCTCCTCTCCTCCCCTCCTCCTATCCTCCTCCTCCTCCTCCTTCCTCCTTCCATCCCTGCATCTGCTCTTCGAATGTCAGCATCATCAGCACCATCATCACCACGCCATCATCACCACCACCACCATCATCATCACCACCATCACCACCACCACCATCATCATCATCATCATCATCATTATCATCATCAGCAGCAGCATCACCATCAGCATCATCATCGTCGTCATCATCATCACCATCACCATCACCATCACCATCACCATCATCGTCATCATCGTCATCATTATCATCACCAGCATCATCACGATCATCATCACCGCAATAACCACCATCATCAGCATCAGCACCATCATCAGAAGCACGATTATCTGCATCAGCATCATCAGCGTCATCATCATCACAATCAGCACCTCCATCTCCATCACCACCATCAGCATCATCACCATCATCATCATCATCATCAGCATCAACATCCTCATCCTTATGATCACCACCATCATCATCATAACCACCACCGTCATCGTCATCACCACCATCATCACCACCATCAGCATCACCACCACCATCACCATCATCATCAACATCATCATTACTCTGATCATCATCATCATCAGCAGCAGCAGCAACAGCATCACCATCACACTCATCAGCATCATCATAATCACAACCATCATCATCATCATCATCATCATCATCATCATCGTCATCAGCATCATTATCAGCATAACCATCTGTATCACAATCACCACCATCATCATCATCGTCATCCTCAGCATCGTTATCATCCTCAGCATCATAATCATACTAATAATAATCATCATTATCATCATCATCAACCATCACCATCGTCATCGCCATCGTCATCGTCATCATCAGTATCATCATCAGCATCATCATGCTCCTCCTCATCATCATCATCATCATCATCATCGCCACAACCATCATCATCACCATCACTATCTTATTATCATCGTCATCCCCATTATCACCATCACCAGCACCAGCACCATCATCATCAGCAACAGCAGCATCAGCAGCAGCATCAGCCTGTCATCATCATAATCATCAGCAGCATCATCATCACCACCACCATCATCATCATCATCGTCGTCATCATCATCATCATCATCATCATCATCATCATCATCATCATCATCATCATCATCATCATCATCATCATCATCATCATCAACATCATCGTCATCATCATCACCATCATCATCATCGCCGGTCAGCATCGCCACCAGCTTCGGCACACGCCTCACACGGTCCGTGGCCCCATAAGGAGCCCCACCGAAGGTCCCAGGGGCGCCGCACGGATGCGTCCGACCCACCCGTTTCGGCACACCCCTCACGAGGATCGGGAACCCATAGGGAGCTCTGCCAAGAGTTCCAGGGGCGCCGCCCGCATGCGTCCGACCCGCTCATTTCAGCACACCCCTCACGAGATCGTGGCCCCACAAGGAGCTCCACCGAAGGTACTAGGGGTGCTTCCCGGCCCACCCATTTCGGCACACCCCTCACGAGGGTCGTGGCCCCATAGGGAGCTCCACCGAAGGTCCCAACGGCGCCGCCCGCACACATTTCGGCACACCCCTCAGGAGGATCGGGGCCCCATAGGGAGAGCTCTACCGAATGTCCCAGGGGCGCCGACCCACCCATTTCGGCACACCGCTCACGAGGATCGGGGCCCATATGGAGCTCCAACGAAGGTCCCAAGGGCGCCGCCCGCACGCGTCCGACCCACCCATTTCGACACACCCCTCACGAGGATCGTGGCCCCATCAGGAGTTCCACCGAAGCTCCTGGGGGCGCCGCCCGCATGCGTCCGACCCACCGATTTCGGCACACACCTCACAGGTTTCGCGGCCCCACATGGAGCTCCATCGAAGGTCCCTGCGGCCGTCCTCGCGCGCGCCTCCCCCGCCCATTTCGGCACGCCCCTCACACGTTTCGTGGCCCCACGAGGGGCTCCACCGGAGGTCACGGCGGCCGTCCTCGCGCGCGTCTCCCCCACAGCCCGCATGCGGTACCCGCCTCATCTTGGCATACCCTTCACTCGGTTCGCCCGCCTCACGCGGTTCGCGGCCCCCTACGGGACTTCCCTTCGATCGCCCCGCCTGCCCTGCGGTACTCATAACTACATATGGTGGGGCCCTGCGCCAGGAGAATTCCCAACCCTCCTTTGTGTTGGATACTCGTTTTGAATTCGCAGCGCCGCGCGTCTCCTCTTTCTCCTCCTCTTCCTCCTCGCCCTCCTCCTCGTCCTTGCTTCTCCTGTTCCTCTTCCTCCTCGTCCTTGTCGTCAGCATCATCTTTGATCGCCATCAACACCATCACCATGATCGGCATCGTCGTCGTCATCATCATCATCAGCATCATCATCATCATCATCCTCATCATCGTCATCATCATCATGATCATGATCAGCATCAGCATCGTCATCATCATCCTTCATCATCATGATCGGCATCCTCACAATCCGTATCTTCATCCTCATCCTCATCAGCAGCATCATCCTCATCACCCTGATAATTATCGTCGTCATCCTCCTCATCATCAGCATCAGCATCATCATCATCGCCATTATCATCCTTATCCTCATCATCATCAGCATCCTCATCCTCATCATCCTCCTCCTCATCATCATCATCCTCATCCTCATCATCATCCTCATCCTCGTCATTATCATCATCACCCTTATCCTCATCCTCATCATCATCACCGTCATCATGATCGTCCTCCTCATCATCGTCCTCATCCTCATCCTCATCCTCATCCTCATCCTCATCCTCATCCTCATCCTCATCATCCTCATCCTCATCCTCATCATCATCCTCATTTTCATCCTCATCCTCATCATCATCACCCTCATCGTCCCCATCACCTGTCTGCCACATCCTCACACGTCTCGTCCGCACGTCGCCTTGTGTCCATGTCGGCGCACCCCTCACACGTGTCGTGGCCCCCATAGGGTGCTCCACCGAAGGCCCCAGCTGCAGGGCTCGCATACCGCCCCCCGACCATTTCGGTACACCCCCCACACGCTTCGTGGCCCCCTGGGGAGCTCCACCGAAGGCCCAGCAAATCGCAGGGTTCACGTGTCGACGCCCCGACCATTTCGGTACACCCTGATTGGATCCTTGTTGGGCTCGAGCGCCAGCGCTGAATTCAAATCGGCGCCGCGCGTCGCGAGGCCAAAAGAACCGGCTGCCTGGGACCTGAACCCCCTGATCTCTCCCGGAGTCTATCCCGCCACCTTCTCACCGTAAATCGTGGACGGTTTGACCCCGCAGAACCATATTTTGGCCCGAGCATGTTTGGAATTTTTGAAGCTGCGTATCTTTGTCAGTCAGGACCTTCCCTTCCTCCACCTATCCTTGTGTTTGGCCTTGCCCTTTGGGGCCGTCCTCAGTTTCCCAGGAGCGAAGTCCACTCACAGATCGATGATACTGTGATCAAAAGAGGATCAAAAAAGCCTGCGTACTGGCCCAGCTTTTCCTGCGCCAGCTCTACTACCTCCTGG